CGCCTCGCAGTGCGGGGCCTCAGCAGTGCGGGGCTGTGGGGAAGAAGGACAAGGGACAAGTGCCACTGGACTCTGCTGAGGTGACTTGGGCTGCCAGGGGGGATGACTGTGGTGCAGGTAGGAGCTGGTGGCCGCGGGCTGGGCGGGGAGCGGGGCCTGTCCCGCCAGGGCTCCACGTCCCGGCCTGTTCCCCTGCTCCCGGCCTGTTCCCCTGCTCCCCCTGCTCCCTGAGCGGGGCTCCTGGCTGGCAGACGCGCCTCGAGAAGGTGGCGCTGGTGACACTGAGCAGCTCTTTGATCCCCTTCTAGCCTCGCGTGTCCCACGAGCGCCCTCAGAGCGCGCCGGTCCCCGCCAGCCCGTTGCTCTGCACAGTGCCCAGAGCAACGGCTTGTGAAGGCGCCTCCGTGCCCGTGTCCGTGCCTGGCAGCCCTGTCCATCGCCTGCCATCCCGAGGAGGCCCGTGCGTCACGGGCCAAGAGGGGACGGCATCCGGCAGCCCCGGCGGCGGCCGTGGGTTTTGTTGTTGTTTCCCCACATCGCTGTGCAATATATTCCGATTTTTTTTCTTGTCATTAAGCCAGTGCCTCGGAGATGATGATGTAGTCCCTATGTGGGCTGCAGAAAGCACTTCGAGCCGTGCTGGAGTCGTGCTGGGTGGCTCTGATAGCAGAGCTAATGGGAGCGAATGGGATGCAACGAACTGTTCTAATGACACCAGCCAGGGAAGAGACAACAGTAAGAATAAATAAATGTTAACTATTTTCCTCTTCCAGACATTTGCATCTATTGCCATTAAGTTCATTTAAATAAGAGAGAGAGCGAGAGAGAAGGGGAAACTTACTACTACTCTTAATAACGAGTGTCTAAAAATAAATTAGGATGCTGGGATGCACTTAAGGCATTTTAAAAATAAGTCTGATTTTTCCCCCCTTCTCTCTCTCTTTTTTTGAAGTGTTGGAGGGTTTTAATTTGGGCCGAGTAATTTTGGTGCAAACGCTTGGGCGCCTTTCGTTGGGAAATTGGGAGGAATGCAAACAAGATTTCACTTCATTAAACAGGGGCAAACAGTAGAGAAATTGCACTTACTTATGGAAATGACTTTTAAACATGAACAGCATTTACTTGCATTGCCTTGTGCTGATTTTTTTTTTAAAAAAGATTATACATGTGAATAATTCACTGCGGGCCAATTAGATGATGACTTCATTTTTAACCTCTCTTCCTTGCCATCTTGCTGGCTGTCCCTTTCATTGCAATTTCCACTCTCTTCCTTCCCTTCAATAAATTAATAAAGATCAAATAATCTCTCTCCCTGCCATGCCAAGAATTAGCTTCTTGGAAAGGGTGTAAAGGGAGAGGATCAGGGTCCCTGCTGAACTGCCTCAGGATAAAGCATAACCTGATTGGGGTTTCTGCAAACAGAAATTTGCAGGAGGAAAAGGGGATGATGGAGAGAGAGATCTCCATGCTTTCTGCATGCAGGAGCAGGTGGAGTGAGGCTCAGCCCTGTGAGTGGCTCCATGGATGTTAACAGGATCATGGCACTTGCTCCTCTGTGCTCCAGGCAGTGCCCAGAGCCAGGCAGGGCTTCCCATGGCAGTGCTCAAGGCAGCTCCTGCAACACTTCAGCATCCCAGCGGCCAGCTACGTGCGGCAAAGACCACCATGGTCTGATCCGAGTCAGGTCGGGAGGGATGTGCAAGGAGTCGGAGCAGGGTGACTGACTTTTGGAGCAGTTCATGGGAAGTAGACAGCAAGGACATCAGCAGAGAGAGGGAGTTCTCTATGAGGCCACTTGTTTTTTTCCCCCTATTTAACAGATGGATGTGAAGAAAAAAAAAAAGATCAAGTGTTCTTACTGTCATTAACTCATGTGTCAGCTCAACGTGGAAAGCAAACTGCAGAGTTTCACTACAGCAGGTTTTGCTGAATCTTTTGGGGTATTGGGAGGAAGGTGCTCCAAAAGAGAATGACTCCCTCAGATCTCCACTTTTCTTTGCTGCTTCTACATTTCATCAGATGCCTGCCAGCTTAAAATAAACACTGGGAGACTCTATGCACACAAATCCCAGTTGCATTTATAGAAAGACAATATTCGTCCTCAAACTATTTTTTTCTGAATAAGGAACTCTACTGTAGCTGTTTGCAGTAATTGAAATATGTCTGTCATAACCTCAAAACCATCAAAAAGCATAATAACAAAATATATTATTCAGTTATCATAAAAGATATGGTGATCTATCCGTGGTTTTTTACGTGGCATTTACCTGTGTTTCCTCTTGTCTTGCTCCTGCGTGCTGGAGTAAGACCCACTCTACCGGAAAAGAAGAAGAGTTGCAGAGAGCCCAGGGCATCATCTGGACGCTCAGTGAGTAAACTGGAGCTTTCCTCCCAGTAACCACCTCATCTATTTGCCTGGGGAACCACCACAAGGGCATGTCCCCRGGCCAGCCAGCTCTGCAGAAACGTGTTTATTCCAGCAGATAAGGTAACTGAACGGTGGGCAGAGCTCTGGTGTCCACGTGGGACACTGCATGGGGAAGGATGGGGAAACCCTCACCGTATTCCTCCAGGAGCTCTTCTCCTGCCACCTCCCCAGCTGCCTGCCTGTGAACTGTTTCCTGGGGCACTTCACGGTTATTTTGCCAGTGTGCTTCCTTTCTCATGGGATCAGTTTCCCAGCCTTTCCGAGCTTCAGTCTTCAGCATTTTTATGGCCTCTTAACTGATTACAGTTTTAGTGGGGAGGAGGAGGCTACAAACGATGACCTGTGATTTCCAGGGAATGGGAGAACAAGGAAACTTCAAGCAGCAGGGCCTCCCGCTGGGAATGGCCCATTTTAGAGCCCTTGTGTCAATTATAGTATCCAAAGGCACTTCCCTACTCTATTTATTTACCCTGGGGAACCCCGGCATGGCCCTGGCAGATTCCAGGCCAAACAAATCCCCTGTCCTAGCAATGGGAAAAGGGTCTTCAGCCCAAGCTTAGCAACTTTACACTGCCCATTTCAGAATCAACCTACATCAGTCCCTGAGCTCTAAAAAACAAGTTCCCTCTCCCAGACAGAATTACCACCTTAGGCCCCTCTGGCTGCTCTTTTACATATCATCCTCCAACTGGTGTTGCGATACCGAGGAGCACCACACCGGGAGCAGCGAGTCCTGGTTTGTATCAGTGTCCTGTGATGTTTGCACCCAGGAGCATGTGACAAGACCTCTGAGCAGGGGCTGTTGATAATTCTTCACCTAGCACAAAGATTTTGCTGCCCCTCCCTGTCTGCGATGCTGTAGATGGGGCACATGTGTCTAATGTTGATTTGGGACGGGGGAAGGAGGTCTGAACTCCCTTCTTTAGAGGGTGACGGGAAAGAAACAGGCAAGAAAAACTGCATCAGCAAAGGAATAGGCCTATACCATTTCAGACAGCTTCTTTTTTTCATGCGCTTGCCCATTCCTGAGGAATGCAGCCACAGGATATGAGGGAGGTCAAACCTCTTTACCCTCTTTATCCTTGATTGGAGATCTGTGTGGGGTTCATTGGAAGCAGACAGTATTCCCTCTCAGGGTAGAGGCTAATGTCAGCAGTGAGTGATCCCTCTGTTCCTGGGGAGTGACTTAGAAAAACTCCCAGAACAGTGACTACCAAGCTGYGAGCAAAGTAGCCCGTACAAAAGCTGGTGGACCTCCATGTTGTTCCATGGTGCAGAGGGCTTTATGGCTGTGTATTCACCGTGCTGAAGCAAAGGAAGGTTTAAAACTCATGGAGAAAGGATAGACAGGTTTCWGGTTTAGTGTTATGCCACGCCAGTGCACTGGGCAAAGGAATCATGAAMAAGCTGGTCCAGTGCTACAAACACTCAGACAGCAGCAGTCCCAGACATACTGTCATTTGGCTCCGTGCCTGTTGCTGCTGGCTGTAGTGTAGGTGTCAGGACATTTTCCCCTCACGCTGGGCCATTTGGGACATCTATTCTTGAAGCACTCCAAGGTGCACACTTTTAGCCTGAAATTTCCACAGTAGGAGTTGTTGAGAGACATGTCTCTCTGAGCAGCTCCATGCAGAGATAAACCTAAACCCACCAACGATGAGGGAGCATGTTGTGTGCAGAGATCTCTCTGCAGGAGAGGCACTTCCATCTGTTACACACCTCTGGAATCTGGGAATAGGACCCTACGGGCTGCTTGGTGCCTCCATTGACCTCAGCAGGCTGAACATCAGAGAGAACTTCAGTTCCGTACGCTTATCAACCCGCTTTCCCAGGAGTATCTTCTGGCCCAAGGGCTGCATGAAGGAGGCACCTGCCACAGCAAGGCCTTGACTGCAGCACTTCCTGATGGGGACCATCATATTGCTCTGTCTGCACCGCGCCTGGTGTCAGGGTGGCCCCCAATCACTGCCGTGTCTACAAGTGTGCTTCTGGAAATGGATCTTCCATTAAAAGAAACTGCAGTTTTCTAGGGTTTTGTAATAAAGCTGAAATATTTAGCTTCACAGTGGAAAAAAAAAGTTCTTGGAAAATTTTGGAAGGAAATATGGAAAGAGTAAATTCTAAAACTCACCATTAGTGGTTCACAGGATGTAGACTGTCTTATTTAGGGGCTGAAGCTCCAGAATGGGAAGTGTAGAAATCCTGCACTACATTTCACTTGTCAAATTTAGAGAAAAGAGAATCTGATATTATTTACTTACTGTAAAAGATTATTTACTTCTGTAAATGATGGAGCCATGCTGATTTTGACTCTTATATTGTGTATTAGTTCACATTAGAGGAGCACACATCTTCACAGATGCCTTTTGTCTCCTGCTTCCAAAAGACAGATCCATTTTTTTATTGGTCTTGYACAGATGTGAGGATACCAAGACTTGGGGATGGCACTAGTCTTGCCCGAGGTGGCACTGTGTAATTTATCATAGCAAGGGTCACTCCTCAGTTGCTGTGGAACCCAYGGTCCAGTATAACATGCTGAACCACCATCACTGCCTGTCTTTCAGATCCACTCTTCACTTACCAAATTCTCTTACCCTGTCTTTGACAAGCCAAAGTGGTGGAGAAGGAGTCCAAGAATGAACCAAAGAATGAAGAAAGAAGAGACACGGAATGAAGTCCTTGGAAGGTAAGAAATCTGGTGTGCTGTTGTGGGTGGATGCACGTTTTTTCTGAGATAACACATCAGGTTGTGGCACATCCACGCAGTGTCCCAGTGCCACAGTCCTGAGATCACCTGTAAAGAAGCAAGGAAGTCATGGGAAAGCCCCAGAGGGAAAGAGCAATCATTTCCCTGGGGCCTAGCTGGAGGGATGAGGAGGACACCAAGGTACCAGGGCTGGCCATGGAATAAAACCCCCCTTTTTTATCCACTCGTTCTGTTTTTTTTTTTTTTTTTCCACTCTATGGGTCCAGCTCTCTGCTTTGCTCACCCTCCCCCCAGCTCGCCTGGTAATTCAGGAAGAGGAGGCCAAGGAGAGTAATACTGCAGTGAAGATAGGACTGGAAGGGCAGTAATTTAGAATCAGAGGCTTATAGTATTATTGCCTGCAAAGCCATTCATGGGAAATGATTCCCCCCATCCCCATTCCTCCCCCCTGCCCGCTCTCCTTGCTCTGCAATAACAATAACAGAAATGCCTTCAGGAGGCTTTTCTACTCAAAATGCAGGCAAAGGAGTGCTTTCCTCCACAACCCCTCTTCTTTCCCTTCTCTTCCCCCTCCTGCTCTCACTTGTCCCCCCTGCCTCCAAGCCTAACCGCTGCTCCCTCCCTTCTCCCTCCCCCCCCACCACAGGATAAAAAAATAAAAATAATAATAGGGGTAATAAGAGAGGAGGTAATGGAACGTTCTCCAACTGGGCACATGTCAGAAGCCATTATATGTGGTGCAGATTTGCATAATTCAAGAAGCATCAAATTAAATTTGCATAATTCCTTTGATTACACTTGTTATTAAATGTAAGTGACATTGATTTACAAAATGGCCCAATATAAGGTTAATAGCAAATGTCACCTTCCAGCAGGGTGAATAGGGTGCGTGTGTGGTGGTGGTGGTGATGGAGGAGGGGGAGAGGGGGGCCCGGCGAGGAAGGCAGCAGACAATTGATTTCTGYTCTTTCTCCTCCTTAAAGGGCTCAGGGCTCCTTTGCAAAGGAGCCCTCGGCTTTCGGAGGGCTGCACTTGGGTTTCATGTGGACACAGAGCAATTAGGATCGCCTGCTAAGCGGCGTTAGTGCGCAGTGCCGAAGTCGCTGAGCTGGCCTGGCACTTCCCTAGGAAGAGCTCCCAAGGGAGGCAGCCAAGACAGAGGGAAGTTCAGTGGCGGAGCAGGAAGGGCCGTGGAGAGCCCCAAGCTGCTCTCTGAGAGAGGTAGGCCCATGTGGGCTCCGCAGGCAGGAAACATGGCCGGGAAGGCACCCTCCTTGGAAAGCTATTTTAGGAATTTTTTTAAGGAATTTTTAATTATTTTTTAAGAATCGCACATGAGCAGATGGTCATCCACCAGCAAGAGACAGGGCAGAGCTGTCCATGAGAGTACTGAGAGGGGGAGCAAGGGCAGCACTGAAACGAGCGGCCTCGCAGTACCTGAACTCTCATGCTCTGATGGCAGGGGCTACGTGGTAAAAATGCATTTGTGATGATGGCTGTAGAGCTCCACAGCTCAAAATGAAGCAGGATGAGGGGTGATACCCGCTCTGTGTCATCCTACCCTCTCTCTCCCTGGCATGACAGAACCCAGATAAAGCACAGCCAGAGTTCCTGAGGAGTTACAGCAGAAATAACCCTTATTTGCTAAGATAGACCTCAGACCGCCTGAGCACTCGCCCAAGTGGCTGCCACCTCTCTATATCTTTTTGTCTCTCTTTTGTTCTGCAAATTTCTCCAGCCAGGAATGTGATTTTCTGCTCAGAAACTGACTGGTAATTTGTGTGAGCACCCAAGAGCTGCACTGATAAAATGGAGTTAGGTTCATACTGTAACTGTGCAAAATAGATCTAGATCTAGAAGTCAAAGGCAGTTTCAAAGTCACACACAGAGGACCATAACTTAGTTTTAGTTCTCCTGAAACGTTTTTGTTTTGTAAATCAAGAGGATGTGGGAGAAAGAAAACCCTCATTCTGATTGAACAAAATGTCTTGTTCAATGTGAAGACAAATGCTGCCTTTGGTAGCTGAACTTTGTAAACAGTGTGTAATAGCATCCAAATAAATTTAGAGAGAAAAATGTCATTCTGAATCAAAAGATGAGAGGGACATTTTTGAAAAATGTTAAAAGAGATTGTGACTATTTTTCAAGAATGGATTTTTGTAAGGATTTTTTTTTCTTTTAGCAATGCCAGTTGCTGAAACTGTCAGGAATTCACAAGATGTTCGAGACAGCTCAGAAGTTCAATTTACAATGAAAAAGTGTCCCAAGGAAGAATACCTCTCAGCTATCCTGTCCCTTCTCTGTAGAAGAGGTGAGTGCCAGCAGTGCCTGGGGAAATGTCACCTTAGAAACCAGACCATGGTTGTGCAGTGGCAGAGGTGGGTTCCTGCGTTGGGCATCCTGCCTTGAAGCTGTGAGCATGTCCTGGGCTAGGCAGACCTGAATTCTGCAAGGCCAGGGGGTCTTGCTGTGAGAGACGTGCAGTTTTCTGAGCTTTAATATAGAGTGTGTGGGATTTCCAAGGCAATGGATGACAACTGCTGCAAGGATTGCATCCTGGCCTCATCCTGGTCTACTAATGGATTTATGTTTGGCTCTCCGCAAGGGTAAAGCCGATACCAGTGACAGAGACCTGGGATTGTCGGCAGGATCTGGTGCWGTAAGAGCTTTGGCAAAAAGAGGGAAGCTTTGTGTGATATATAGACTAAAAGGGTAACAATGACAAGATATGAGAATGCACAGGCTGCACGGGCATGCCACAGTGAAGATGGCAGGTGTTGGGATTTTATGCAATTTCAACAGGAATGGTGCAGTGTTTGGTTTCTAAATCCAGGTAGAGTCATTCTCAGCTGATTTTCATACTGCTGATCAGTCCTTTGAAGGTCTAGAAGTTCACGCCCAAGAGGAGATGAGTGCACTGGTCTTTCAGGTCCAAAATCCGAGATCTCTTATGAATAAGAGTTGTGAAATATATGTTACAGACATAGGTAATCTAAAGAGAAGCTGTGGCATGCACACCTGGAATGCCCTGCACATTTGACACCCATCCATCAAAGGCTATTGCCTTGCTCTAGGTCCTTCTCTCTTGCTTAGCAGCAGAATTAATTACAACCTTCCTGAACCTAGATTATCAAAAGTGCCCAGTGATCTTGGGTGCTCTACTTGGGACAGTTACAGAATTTATCTTGTTAAGGTTAGTCATCCCAAGTTTCTAATTGCTAGTGGCTCATGCCTGGATCTCACTTCTTTTGTGAGAATAAAGAAAGAAAATGAGGTGTGCRGATTTGGTGGGTTGATACAGAAGTGTGGATGGACTCACTTGTGCTTGCAGTCCTTACATGCTATATTTATACAGAAAATAATCGCTGGCCTGTGGAAGTCTGTGCCACGGGAGGGCAGTTTGATGTGTGTTTGCACAGACATTACCAGAGTTCACATGAGCAGTACTAACCAGAACCCTCGGTAATGTTTCGCAAGCTACAGACACGAGCGGTCAGATAATTTTGCAGGTGTTTTTCTGCAAAAGTTGTCACTTGCAACCCAGGGCCAGTCCCATCCCCGCAGCCCCCACCTCATCCTCAAAACAGTGCTTCTGACTTGAGCACTGAGAATGAGACATTTACTCTAAGCACCCGTTCAAGATCTGTGGCATTTGCTTTAGAGTTTTGGAAGGGCGCAGGATCCCGTGATGGCCGCAGAGCTGCCCTTGCCTTGGGAAAGCAGGGGAGCAGCTCCCRAAGGCAGCAGTGGGCGCCGGGGCAGCAGAGAGGACCCTTTATTCCTGGTAAGCCCGGCGCGGGCTGGCACTTGCTGACRTGGTCATATTTCGCCCGCGCTCGCAGCGAGCCGGAGAGCCTCGCGCGCTGGCTGAGCCAACTGCCAATTAATCGTCGGTTCATTACTGCTCTGCGACGCCCGTCCTGACAGCAGCCTTTCAAACACGGATATAATTGGAAAGGTCCATGCGGCTGGAATTTGGTAARGGCTGGAGCGGGGAGCTGAGGTCTCCCCCTCGTTTTCCCTTGCTCTGTCTCTCCCTTGTGCTTTCTCAGGCTGAGCTCTGGGAACAAATGGCAAGCTCGGGGTGGGTTGGTGAGGGAAATTAATCTCTCCTGCCCCTGCGTCTTGCCCCTGCCACCTACATCCGTTGACATACAAGGAGGTCTTCGTGCCAGGAGATCTGTCTCCATCGATGGGGTTTCCCTGGGCTGTAATAACCCTCAGCTTGCAAACAAGGTGTGCAGCATAGCAGGGTTGCCTGTGCAAAGCTGAACATGTGTGTCATTGTGGTTGGGCTTGCGGGTGTTGTCGTAAGTTACTGCACAGTGCTCATGTCCTGCTTGCCACAACTGAGGATAAATGGAAGGGGCTGCTCAAAAGTCCGGTTTTGCAGTAGGGAGCAACACTTGCAAGTAAGTGAGGGAATTAGCTAGGGGAGGATCAAAGGAAAARTACTCTGAGAAAGCTGTTAGTGTGAAATGGCCTTGGAACATTTTAGGAAAACGGTTTTCCTCCTTTCTCTCAGTTTCTGCCAGGTACCTGCAGTTGGACCTGGTGCATCAGATCCTATCAAAGCTGGATGTGCACAAGTTGGGTGCTCCCCTCGGGGAGCTGCAGCTGAGCAGCCCCGGAGAGGGGTCCCTTGCAGAGCTCAGCTGGGGCTACCTGCAGACCTGGTGTTGGTCTGAGAGGAGAGGCCCTCACCCAGGGAGGGTTGGGCACCAGCTCAGCCTGTTGTGAGGCCTCCTCAGAGGTGCTAATGTGATTCCCTGACCTGCCTGAGGGAYGAGGCCTCCCCATGTTCCCCATGTGGCAGGGACAGCCGTGCCGTGGAGGCTCAGCCCCCTCTGCCTTCCCCCCCACTCCTCCCGTGTCAAAGTTATTGTCGTGTTCTGCGGAGTCTCAGGTAGGCAGATGAATGGGAAATGTTCCTCTCCATTACTAGCTGCACTTGACTGGAGTCTCATTACATTACGATGGCGCTTTAGCAGGCGAATGGGCCTTGCGTCTGGGTTCCCGGCACCCCTCATACCTCCCTGATAACGTAAATTACCCTCCGCCTCATTGCCTCAAATGATCAAACATCAAATTGCTAGTAAAAAAAAAAAAAAAAAAAAAAAAAAAAAGGAGGAAAAAAGAGAGAGAAAGAGAGAGAGGGAGAGAGGGAAAGGAGAAAAGCTGAATAGAACCATGGGTTGAATCTAGATGGTTTGTCAGCAACAAGAGACGAGTCAATGGCTCTTAAACACTTGCTGAAGATGAATCTGTTGATGGCTTTGAGCATGGTAATTTCAGTGACATTAAAGTACACCTGTAAAACCCAAACAAYGCTTTATAACTCCAAATTACACCAGTCAAGACCTGCTACTTCAAAGCATTGCTTATTTCTTTTGGTCCGGGGAGGGGGAAYGCGCAGATAACCCATTTCTCTCCATCAACAGACCTCAGCAAAGCTAAGAGAGAGCGAGAAGCAGTATCGATTTTTTGTTGATTTTGTGGTCGAACAGAATGCCAAATCCTCTGCCCTCCCCTACTCCCCCTCTCCTCCCCATGACAAAATCCCCAAGCCAGAAGAATCCTTTCAGGATGGACAAAACCAGGAGGAGAAGGAGAGCGGGAGAAGTCTAAGGAGGGGAGGGAAGGCAGGTATGCACAGGGCTAGTCAGCTCCATGCACAGAAAAATATGGATCTCGGCAGGGTAACGAGGCGCAGTGGGAAGAGGAGGCTATATGTCTTTTCTCAGTATTTAAACGTGTGCTTAATATGGCGCTCAGTGGAATGGTTAATCTGCTAATGCTGGTAGTGTTTGCTGTAGTACTCAGAGAAATGTTTACTGCAGTATTTCATGGGGATTGTGTTCTGGATGGCACAAAAGGAGGAATCGCTCTAGCGTACCAGGAAAATGTTCATTGCAAAATATACTGGAATATTAAAAGGTTTATTTAGTGGCGTACTTAGTATAATATGAAAAGAGTTAAGTACAGAGTGTTTTATTAATATTTTTGGGGTGTGGATGAATTTCAGTGCTCAGGAAGGTTATGGAGAAGCAATTCCAGCAAAGGCTGGTTATATTCATAGATTTATAGATCTTAAGACCATAAAGGACTCTTTGATCAGCTAATCTGACCTTCTGTATAACACAGGTATATACAGTGTGGACATACCTCCTGATTCAGCAAAACACTTTAAGCACTTGCTTAAATTTAAGTATTTGAGTTGCCCCATGGAAGCCAGAGAAAATAACCCTCTTGAATCAATGGGACTATTCATCCTCTAATGGGAAGTGGGTATTTAGGCATTTGCTGAATTGGGACCACAATAAGATTATGCAGCCAAATGAGTAATTCATAGCCACCCATTTATTCAACTGCTTTTGCCTCCTTTTCTGCTTGCGGATTGCTCCGGAGCCAATCGCCATTTCCTGCAACGTCTTCATTGTTTGAAGTCACTCACTGAATAATTTCAGTGAAAACTCTTTCATTATAGCTTGGCCATAAACAGTTCATTGTGAATACGGGGCCATAAGCACATACATTGTGAGAGCGTGTGTGGCTGCATTAAATATGTAAGCAGAGATGCTCGTACAGTGGCATGCACCAGGTTAGGATCTTGGACTGCAGGGCAACGACACGGCTCCCGGATGGAGATCCGCGGATTCTCCGGATCAGCGCGCTCAGATGCCAGCTCTGCGGGTTCCTGCTGCCTCCGTGTTGAAGGGACCTGCAACGTCTCCGACCCCCGGCTGGGTGCTCCAGTCATTCTTGGGGTCCAGTCTCCGATGAAAACGTTTGTCCAGGGAATTTTACAAATAGGCTTTTGGTGGATTTTCTCCCGTGCTCGTTTGGTGTATGCTGTTTTGCTGCACATTCCTCATGGTAAAGTGATCTGCTGGGAATTTCRCACAAGTGAAGTGGAGGAAGGTGCAAAATCAGTGGGAGTGGACTCAGCATGTTCTCATTAGTGTTGGTGTACCTTGGCCAGGCCCCCCGCTCCCTGTATTAACTCAGTGAATCAGTCCTGATTTATTTTAAGGATTTTCCAAGTCAGTCAGGACATATCTTCAAGCAAGTGTGTTTGCAACCTTTCTGTGGCAAGGAATTGGTCAATTAAGTCTTACGGTATTTTTTTAGAAAAGAAAAAAAGAAAAAAAAAAGGAAAATTAGGTACTGTGAATAAGATGGGAAGCTTCTCTTGTAGAACTTTATTACTTTATTTGTGCAGTGCCAGCTCCAGTTCTGATATAGACCTGGCTGTGTATTGTGCATTACCACATGGGTATGATTTCTTTCCAGTGCAGATTGCCAGAGGTTTAGTCTTTCTAAAACTTGTGCTGTTCTTTAGTATTCACTTACATTTTCAAGAAAGCACAGGCTGTTGTTGTTCAGAAATAAAGTAAAGCACAAATGGCTAAAAAAAGTGAAAAAAAAAGGAACTTGGTGTTTCCTGCATTTCACTTTAGTTTCTGTTTTTTTGGTTTTGCCATAGCCCCAGAGAAGGATGCTATGGAAGGCAGACAGAGGCTGGGCAATGTCGGGAGCGGTGCAGCTCACGATAGATTTTTGTGAACAGGAGGCCGAGCAGGAGGTTGAGATTTTCAACAAGTGTGGAGGGAAGGGAGGCCAAGCAGCCGCCAGGGCTCCCGATGCTGCTCTCATCCAGGCTCCCGGCAGCGGGGTCAGATATTCCCTGTGGAAGCGCTGTCCCTCCTGCGGCTGCCGCGCTCCAACGGGAGCAGCTTTTGCAGGCGGGCGACGATGAGGAAGGTGGCAATGAGGAAGGCTGTGAGGGCTCTGCTCRGAGCAGGGCTGCGGCAGCGGCCTTATCCCTTATTCCCTTATCCCACTGAACGTTCAGGCGGTTTTGTTTTTCCCAGGTTAACCTAAAATGCAGTGTTTTCTAGCTATTTTGGTGAAATGCGAAGCCACCGCAGTTTTTCCAGGCTGAATGAGACGCATTATTTACAGATGGCCRTTGTCCTTGTTAAAAAAGCAGTTACGTGTCATAATGAGAAGACCATTTCAGCATGAAAAATCAATTATGATTTTTTCCAAAATACGGAATGAAGCATTTCGACTTTTCAAAATTACCTTTTCCCCTTTTATTTCTCATTTGGGAGGATTGGCCAAATCCAGCCCGGGCTAGCAAACAACCTGAGTCAGCTAAAAACACAATATATCCCRCAAATAAACTTTATCCATGGAGGGAAAAGGAGACTGCTGGTCCTGATGATGCCATCCACAAAGGTTGGTTGTTGCTTTTTTTTTTTTTTTTCTGAGATACTTTAAGACAGAGTCTGCATCATTCTGCCAATATTTGCATAGCATTCAAAACAGCGGCGACCATTTGGAGCTATTTAATAGCAGGGAGGATTGGCTGCAAACGTCAGGGGCTGGGCGCTTCACATAGCTGTGTCTGCACCCCGGCAGAGGGTTGTTTGCTCTGTGGCTCAGTTGTGCTCCAGTTTGTCTCTGTCAATGTGGCTCTCTTTTTAATGGAGAGTTTGCCACTCGTACAGGCAAAGAGTCATTTACTGATACTTTTGTTTGCCAATATAGACTGTCCATTAGCTATCTTAATCCTCTGTCTGCCCTAACAGGCTGAATCAAAACAAAACAAAACAAAACAAAAGTCCATCTACTTTTGTACAGGAAAGAAATGCCTCTTTCCTGTTTTTTTCTTTTTCTTTATTTTTTTCTCGGATGGAAATGCCTTGTTTAGTTCATATTTCGCCCTCTGAAAGCTGGTGTTTTTTTTTGTTGTTGTTGTTGAAAAACTGAAGCTACTTGCAGAGAATTTGCAAAGGGAATAAAAATGTTCACTTTCTTTGCACAGAAAACGACAATTTTGGGGAGCCACCCTGGGCTGAACTTTCAGCAGACATAGGGATCTATGGGCCTCCCTTGTGCTTATCCTACTCATCAACTTTCCTTCCTAACGTCGCCTTGGATGAAATGCAAAATCAAATCCTGTAAGATGTGATCATTTAGGGTACTGTGGCATATTTTGAAACAGTAGGGCTGTTAGCCCCAGCATCTTGGCCAAATTCCAACCTGGATAATTACATTCTGCCGGCCTATATTCCAGCCGGCAGATCAAATAGGGGAAAAAAAAGAAGAAGAAGAAAAAAAAGGAGTTATCCTTTCTCGTCTGAGGAGCCCTGCTGTGTGATGAGTGATGCTTTGCCACCCCAGAAGTAGCCACATTTGGGGCAGTGCTGCCTCCCTGCTCCCCCTTGTCCTGCCCCTTGGCTAAAACTGCTGTGAAGATGTCCCGGCCAGCTCCCATGTGGGAATGAAGCAGCGTGGGTGACCACGATGCAGCTTTACACCGGGTCCTTGGTTATTCCAAAGCTCTCTTTGTGTAAACCCCAAGTTTACACTTGGCCACCCCTGCGCCGGCAGGGTGGGCTGCACGAGGAGAGGACAGGCTGGCATGGGGTGGAAAGAGGGAGGACTCCTCGGCGGGCTTGACCCGTGCCTCTAATTTGTAAAGAGCATTTTTACACCAGATCAATGCTTTCCTCAGCATTTTAATGCACCCCATTGGTGTCCTTAAACTCTAATGATGCAGTCTGTGAGAAGCTGCCATTTATTACCCACAGATGGGGTGATAATTATTGACAAGATTGTAACTAATAATTAAACCCATTTGCTCCTTTAAACAAGTTGGTGTGAATTATTTGCAGGGAGTTCTTCAGCAGGCCCGTGGTCACTCTCTCCTTGTGGCAGGAATTGTAATGCAGCCAGAGCAGGAAGGAAAGGCTGCTCTGGAAACCAGGGTCTTTCCAGCTGCCCTGGGAGTCCTTGAGCCTTGGCTGCCAGCAAGACCTTTGCTCCTGGCTTTACTAGTGAGAGGTCTGCTCCCTCTTGCCATGGGGCAGAGGAAATGTGCCTGCTCCTTCCATGCCTGCAGGGCATGCTGAGGTGTGGGGCAGCGCAGCTGGCTGCCGTGGGGCACGTGGTGAGCAAGGGTGAGCACAGAGCAGCGTTGCAGCACTCGCCAGCGGGCAGGTTGCCCGGGGGAGCTGCCTTCCCTGGTGTACACGTCGAGGGAGAGTGTAAATCTAATCTTGGTGCTAGGGTCCATTAGCATTAGAGGGGAGTACTGTATATGCATTCATTCCCCGCTCTCACCCCTGGATGACAGAGTATCCCCCTCTGTTGTCTGCTTTAGCACGCGGAAAAGGCTGCCCATTAATTCTGCAGCAGCAGCAGTTAATGCCATCGTAAGTCTTAAGCCTCTGAATTTTGTGAGAGCCTTTTACAGTAATAAATACCCCACACTTATGCATATAATTAGTTGTGTATCTCTCGGTTGTTCCAATGAGCACGATGATCTATCTGTCCTTTGGTTCAGACAGGTCTGGCTCTTCTCTCCGCACTCCCAGTGCGATACTGGTGTGACTCCACTTGCTATGTAGGAGTTAGGCCTGACTTGGCCACGCAGAAGGACATCAGGACCTGTGAGGAGGTTTGGGTTTAGAGAAGCACAGATGTGACTGGGGACTCGAGGATTCACTGTGCCCAAAGAGGAAACCTGAGCTCAGATGCTCAACGCAAAGCAAACAGGTTGTCCCAAATATGTCTCAGTACAACTGTGACATCAATACCATCCCACATCTTGCAGTATCATGTAGGCACTGCCTTGATGGTGGCTTTTGGAAAGGATTTTGCACTGTTATATGTACTTGCAGTAATGTTTCCCCTCTCCCTCTCTTTCCATGTGTACCATATTGTAGAGGCTATGAAACAACAGTGAAAATGTGCACCTGCAACAGCTTGCCTCCTTATTTGATTTTGTCTTAAGTATCCTGAACATTCCCCTTCTTCTCTGAAAAAGACTATAGAAAGACTTATTGAATCACATCTAGCCTTTGTTGGATTTTATCCTCCTTTGTAAAATCCCCATTAAAGCCTCACAGCAGCAGAGCTTACCGTGCACAAGTAAGTGATCATCCCACTCTCTTAAACTGACTGAGGCCTGGATTCAGCAGGMGAGTAAATGCAGATTTAGGGCTCCTAGTACTGGGTCAGAAACACYTTGCTCACATGATGCCAACTCCGATCTGGCATGAAAGTGATCTGCTCATTCAGCTCATCTTGGGGAACGCAGCAGATCCACTTCCTCGCGGCACACTCAGTGTGTGTGCAGTACTGCTCACCTGGGACTGACTTTACACCTTCAGACATCGGCTGTCTTCCCCCTGCAGCTTGCAGAAAGCAGAATTAGAATTGAACCCGGCACAGAAGCTGTCCAGCGTGTGCTCTGGCTGACTTGGTAAGATGTGATCCTGCAAGGATGCCCGGCCCGGCTCAGAGTTGCACATCTGGCTCATCCCAAAGCATGCACATCTGGCAGCAGCGTCGGTGGGAGCRTGGCGGAGACCCAGTCCAGCCAGGATGGCTAACTGTAAGTGCTGAACTCAGAGGGGATATTTACATGCTTGAAGTTAATCACAGGCATAAATCTCTGCAGGATCAAGGCTATGGAGGAAAGTAAAAGAAGGCACCAAAGAGGCATATGTCGAACGGGGCTGTGGTCGAGAGCTCGCTAAGACTTAAACATAACATCTGAGAAAATGAGTCATTTGTTTGAGAAGCGTTCTGAACACTGGCATGCAGTAATTCCATAATGGATCCATTTAACCAGTCCTATAACTGAAATATCCTTAACAAATATTTCCTTTAATAGCACTTAAGGAGGAGTGCAGGGAGAGAAATTCTAAAGCACAGATGCATTATTGCTGAGTTACAGGTCTGAGGGCTTTCAAAGTAACGAGCTAATTTTTCTCCAAATTTGGCTCAATATTTAACAAATCAAATGATATCAGGAAGCAACATGAGGTCAACATTTTTAACCTGAGCTGTTTGTTAAATTGTCCCAGCTCTGCAATAAACACCAGAACAAACGTCTGTTGTAGTCAAAGGTAATTTAAGCTATCCTCTGAAAGTTTATAATAAAAACTCCAATCTGGAGAAGAAGGCTGGATATTTCAGTCATGAAGGAACTTTTCTGAGAGAGGCAGGAAAAATTTGCAAATCTGGGACTAGGAATTAGAAGAAAAGTCAGCTTTCAGCCTTAGCAGTGATTAACTACCTTAACTCCAGTAATCGTTAATGTACATTTAGAGCAAGCCAGACCAAACTGGCATTTGWACATAAGCAAGACAGTGAGGTTGCAGCCAACCCACAGTGGCCTAGAAATGGTGGACGTAAACCACTTATCCTAGAAGCAGCAGCCTTCAGAGTGCTTCTTACCCTTGTAGGAACCGTGTAGGAGCCTTGTACCCCTGGGAGGTGACTGGCACATGGTAGAGGGCACATGGAAGACCAACATTGCCGYAGAACTTTGGATCTTCAGTATTAAAGAAAAGCCTTCAGGAGAGCCAGGGGCCCACTTTCACAGAAAGAGGCTCTTCAGAGCCCCTCTCCACAGGGCTGCCTGAGCTTCCCAGCCCCAGGTCTGCGAGTGAGCAYTGCCTCCCAGGCCGCTCCAACAACTGCTCACTGCAGATCAGCAGGTGGATGTAAATCGGCCTGTCTACATCACGTAGCTCTTTGCAGATCACCAGTAAGGGCTCTCTAGGCCACCAGTGGCCCATGGTCCTGTTTCAGAAGCAACGTGCTATAATAATGTATCCCTAACCATGCTTTATACCAATAAGTAGGCTATAACCCTGTCAAGGTGTGCTGGTGACTCTATAAACCATGAGACCTGAATGGTCAATGGTCGAGTGGTTTAAAGCTGTCACCAGAATACTGAGATAGCCTTATAAGCCTTGTGCTGCATGGCTGGGGATACATTATTCACTATAATATATGGTAAGAAATACCTGTGCAGGGTTTGAAATGAACTGCTTTAGCCACTAGCCAGCATGGCTAGTGATCAGGGAAATCCGTCAGCACTTCTGTGTGCAGCGGGAGGCAAAGAGACATAGACACCAGGCGAGGGGTGTCTCCTCCTCCATGCCACAGCCGTGGAAGGAAATGGGTTTTGGTGCAGGTGATGGAGGGGAAGCAGACCCGGCTTCCTGCCCMTGGGCATGGGCATTGCTCCTCAGCTGGGCCTGCAGCTGGGGACGGGACACCTGCAGCTGGGACCTTCACACCGGGGCAGCTGCAGAGCCCTGGGCCACCCTTTCTCCTATGGCACCTGCCTCCCGGCTCCGCACTGCGGAGATGGGCCCTGCTCCTCAAGCTGGACGGAGCAGGATCGTTTTTGCTGTCCTGCTCCTTGTGAGGGGATCAGCTCCTGGCTAACAAGCCACAAGGCTGGCCTGAAAGAGCTGAGTCATGGTGGGCTGGGGCCCTTTCCAGCCTTTTAAATAGTATAACATAGGACATCAAGACTGTACATGGGTGTGGACATACATGCAGGTGGGCAGATAGTCCTGGGCTTGGGATCTGGACTCTTGGAAGATGCTCAGTGTCATTTCAGGAGAATGTCATTTGAAGTCAGCAGTTTTGGATCTTCTCCCCTCCMGCTCCGGCCAGTCTCGGTGTGTGCAGGTCATGGAAGGGCCGTGGGGGCAGGTTGGTGAGGGAGGACACGGGGAAGCCTTGGCTCCAATGATTGGCACACAGAGAGGAGATGAGGGCTTTGAAGAAGCTTTGGAGGGCTTTAGGACTAAGCTTCTGTCACCAGTAACCTTGACAAATAAAAGATTTCCCCCTCGTCACCACCTATGCTGCTAGAGCTATAGGAAACAAAGTCCATGAGACCAAGGAAACAAAGTCCATGAGACCAAGGAAACAAAGTCCATGAGACCGTGCCCATGTGAGTAGCCCTGGGGCGGGGGATTTCATTAGGGCTGAGGAGAGGGAGGAAAACCCTCCTCCCCAACAATAGGCAGAGCTCGGATAGCCTGAAGAGCTCGTTGGCTTTGTTCTATTTATTTTATATATACATAAGCAAATATATATACATATATATATTTAAAATATACACATATATATATTAATATTTTATCTTGAGCTTTTATTGATCTTTTCCAGCAAGGGACCCAGAGGCACCTTTTCACATTGAAATGGCCGGGAGACAATAGCACTGCTGGGTAAGCTGTGAGGGCGGATGGCGCTCGGGATGCGGCCTCGGCYGGCCTGGGATCAGTAGCCGGGAGACGGGGTGCCGGGGCGCAGGAATCCGGCTGYGTGAGAGCGGGCAGGGCCTCCCCCGTGCTCGCTTGTTATGTTAAGAGCCCCGTCGGCGAGCGGTGCCCGCGCGGCACACGGAGAACAGAGGGCCGGCGCGCTGAATGCTGCCGCTCTGGCATCCTTCTGTTCTCCATATGGGGACATTGTCTGGCCTCCGCGGAACAGGCCCCCTCCCTCCGCGCTGCCTCTCCTCTCCCTACTGTGCTTGCATAAACTGTTGGTTTCCCTYTTTATTAAAACCCTCTGAGCGGCCAGCGGGGTGACAGGCACCAGGAATTCGTGAAGGACGGAGGAGGAGGAGAAGGAGGAGAAGGAGGAGAAAGGATGAATTTGTGTTTGAGGAGCAGACCCTGCTCTCCTTGCCAGTCAGGAGCAGAGGGTGAGGATGGGCAAAGCGGCTCACAAGGTTGGGAGAACATGGGAACAGAGGGTGCCATGGAGGGCAATGCCCCAGGGCAGCCCACACCAACCACTGCATCCCAAAAACAACCACTGCATCCCAAAACCAACCACTCCATGCCCAAAACAACCACTCCATCCCAAAACCACAGCCCCCCCCATCACGTGCACCATCCCGTGCAGGCACAGTGCTGCTCTGCAGAGACTGAAACACTTGGTMCACAGAGAGCTGGTCCTGACAGCCTTGCAAACGACATGAGAAAGACTCTTCCCTGGTGATTTCTTTTATATTTCATATCAATGAAGGTAAAACTAATGATGTCAAACAATGTAACGGAGGGGAAGATAAAACAAAACCTCTCCCCTGCAAAAACAAAGCAATCAATATGATATTATCCTGCTGCAGTGGTTTTCAAAAATCCCTAACGAAGTGGACCCCTAAAAATCTCTAACAAAGTTTTAGCACCCCTAGAAAATTCTCTCACCCCAATTTCCTGGGTAGCAATGGCAAAAAGCTGTTGCTTTTCCTGTGCTCCTCAGAATAARGTCTTCCAGGCACCTGCAGACTTCAGACTGAAAGACGCCGTCCTCCAGAATGCCAGTTCAAATGTAACAGCGAATAATTAACATAGGGAACTTACTATTGTTATTTTAATACTTTCAGGGCCATCTTACCTGGAGAATCTATTTTACCACCTCTGGGAAGCTCACACAGGGACTTCATCATTCTYATCTCTTCCTTTGAGTCTCTCTGCTTCATCGAAGAAATATCAAGTACCTCTAATTACCACATAGGAGGAATGTGATAAATTATAAATGGTTGGAAAATTTCTGGATGCATTTTTTTGGCCTTGTAGAAAAAAAAGGATTTTTGCTTTAAAAGTACCTTTTTTTTTTTTTCAATAGCCATAAAAAGAAATTATTRTAGAAACTCAAAGCAAACTCGGGCTTTTTATTCCATTTTGCACCATATTTTGTCTTCTATTCTGTTTTTTCTTTTTGTTCACTCTTTTACTACGGTCAGACATTTCTGCTGGAGAAGGGAGCATTTTTAACTAGCCTAGTACAAGAAAAATCTACTGCAAATAGGTAACAAGAGAGTTTGCTATTTAAGGCACAAAATATTTTGGGTCATATGCTGAGTTTCCACTGACCATGTGAGCCTCCTTTATGAAACATTAAGAAAATCCAGGGGAAAAGTTTCAACAACTATAAAAATCCTTCAGAATTTCCTTTTCATGGAAGAAAAAGGAATTACAGCAGTACCCGAAACTGGTGACAGACCATATCCAGATAAGTTGCAAAACATTCTGAAACAGAAAGACTATTTTTTTTTTTCCTATATTATTCTATAGATCCTTAAAGATGCTCCTTCATGGAATATTAGTTCGTTCACCAACCCAGTCTGGGAAATTCAGTTTGGGAAATCCAGGCAACTTCCTTTGCTTCTGGCTAACTGCGCTTTCATTTCCTCCTCCTGCCCCTGCAGGGCTGTACTGGCTGGAGTGCCCAACAGTGGCCCTCGGGCTGGGTTACACGTGCCGTTTCTGACACCCAAACCACTGCCAAGTGCTACGCAGCCCAGCGAGGAGCTGCCTCCTTTCTAGGGATGCCAAAAAAGCAAAGAATATTCASGAGTCACAGGTTTAGAGTGAGCAGCGACTGACAATCAGCTGTCTTGCTTTTTATTCCTGTCTTTTGCCATTGGCATGTTGTAGGCAAATGAATGAACTTCTC